TAGAATGTAGACCATTGTTAAATCAAAAAAATTCAAATCTAAAAAAGAACCATAAACGGTTTAAATGGTTTGTCAGTGGAATTTTATTTATATTATTATTTCTTGGAGTTTTTTATCTTTTATATCTCAACATAAGGTACGAAAAACTATCAGCTTCTAGTTACATTACTAAGGTAGTTAGATTAAAATTATGTCAAATTCATAATTCATCAAGGAAAATGTTGTGTTAAACAATTTGTGTAATAAACTCGAATAAAACTAAATACCTATTTAAATGTACATTATATTAATAAATCTATGACCATAAATCTTTCTTATAAAGATAACATTTGATAACTATACATTTATAAATAAAATATTATTTTTTAATAGTGAGCCTAGGTTAGGTTATATATGTAGTATAAAAAACAGACAATTTATGTAAAAATAAAATTTAAAGCCAGCGATTAAAATATTAAATATTTATGTACGTATTTATTATTTTTTATTTAAAAATATAAATTTGAAATAGGAGTGAAATTAATTCCAAGCTTACTTAGTAATAAGTCTAACGCCAAAAAAAAAACATGCAAATACCATAAATTCCGAATCTTAATAATTACGATACCTATATTTTTTTAAACTAAATAATATATGTTATATTTGTTTAAGTTGAATAAAAGTAGTTTGGGTATATAATAGCTCTACCTACATCTTTCACCAGTCAATATAAAAATAAAATGTAATATTCAACTAAAAATTAATTTATGTACACAACATTAGCAGTCAAAAATACAAAGTGATTCTTTAACAGTGAACACTAATTATCTCAAAAGTATTAATGTTATTAAAAATATCATTTTAAATAGTTTTTAGTCATTGCAATAGAACATTTAAAATAAAAAAATGTATTTCTTACTATTTTACTATTTTAATTTTTAAGTACACTTTTTGAAAGACAACATATATTTTGATTTTATATAAAAATATTCAGAATTTATTTTTGAGAATTTTGATGTCTAAAAATATAATTTTTTGGACAAGTAAATAATTATGTTATAACTTTTGTAATTATTCCGAGATCTTAATGTAATAATTTTTTTTTTTTTGTTACTTTAATATAATGCTTATTTTATGTAGAAAGTACGTATTATTTTCTGTAATATTTTTAAAATTGAATAGACTGTGAAAAATATTCAATTTTATATTCATTTTTCTTTTAATTTTTTGAGTACTTACAACGATATAGTATTTAGGCCAGCAGATTTCATTTTGTGTATACGATCTCTCCAATAAGGTCTGGGCACTCGAAAGTAATGCAGTGATCCCGAAACATATCGAAATACATTTCCGTCTTTAATAAATTCATTTTTTTCATAGTCAACATAGAACCTTTTGTCACAATACTAAAAATTAATGCATATTATAACTATTTTTACTGATTAAAATACAAACTTATATTCCTGTATTTTATTTATTACTTTTTTTTTTTTAATAGATTATGTTAATAAAAGATTATTTATAGGTACAATAAAATAATTGTGAAAGAAACTTACTACATATTCTAAATGAAACAACAACAGTGCTAAAGAACAATACACTAAAATCGTAGGCATTATAACATTACTTGATATAACATCAGATCGACACAAATGTCTTACAGAAACTGCGTTTAATTTTCACTAGAATGAATAATATTATTAGTGAGTGTAGTAAACCATGTTTACTAGTATAACAGGTGTTTCCTAGTATTGTATTTTGACATACATGTGTATAGGTACACATATATGTCACATATATAGATACTTATATCTTTTTTTACACAATATTAAAATAAATGATATAATAATAATTAATAGTGATCACTAGTTCGATGTTAAAATAATGTTAATTAAAATAAATGAATAAAAAATAATTAATCAAAGAAAATTTAGGTTTTAAAAAAATTTGTTTGGTTTTAAAATTAGGTTTTAAAATTTGGTTTGATAATGTTTAGATGCAGCTTTGACGAATTGTATACTGGTAATATTGTTTGCCTTAAATGACGAAAAAATACGTATCGGTGGAGTTTACATTTTTTTTTCAGGTAAAAAAAATGTATCGGTGGAATTTACATGTTATAAATCCAACCCTAAAATCAACTACCTGTAAATCGGTGGAGTTTACAATCGCCCGTGTGGGAAGGCTTTCGTCCATTTTGTCCTTTGGCCTATTCGATTAAAAAACGCATATGGATATTTTTAAATATGTGAAGTTATAAATAATATTAGATTGATTATAAAAGTTATATATTTATGATTATTCATGACACACACACACACACGTGTCGATCGGCTGTTCCTCCGTAAACGATAGTGTTTTTTTATATTTATATTTATACATACACTTAAAAACATTATTTAGATATGGTATTAAGACAAAATTTTTCAAATAATTGTTTGTTATTAATTATTATTATAAGTACGCATAGTAAAAATAATATTTTATAATACTTAAGTTGGAATTTTGGTATTTTAAGGATTAATTTATACTATTAAGTTTGATATATCTTTCTATTTGAATTTCTTTTAACTTTTCTATGAACATTAAAATATCTCCTCTTAATAAAATGTATAAAATTATAATAGTTTTATAATAATTCAAAACTAAAATATATAGTCTAATTCAATGGTTTTCAACCTTTTTTGTGTGACGACACTAATGTAGATTTATAAAAATGGTGACACACTCAGGCCCCGACTGGGAGGATACCGGCCTAGTAACTCAGGTAAACTAAAAAAGTTTGAAAACCGCTGCTATATATTTTAAAATACATATACAAGGGGGGGGGATAAACAATGTCCGGAATAATCGATGTGTGGATATTTTAAACAGTAGTCGACGGAATCGATACAAACCTTTTTCATAAACAGATAGTTTCCGAGGAATCAATAATATCCTTATTTTGCGTGTATATATCAGTTTTTAAAGAGTTAGCATTTATAAACCTTCGATTGTACACTGCGTCCGAAATACAGATAAACCCAAAATCATACATGTAAACTACCTACTCTCGAATTTTTATCAACTGTAAAAAGATGACATGTAAATTGCGCCCGGGTAAAATTTTAAAAACCAATAGCTATATTTTTGTAAAATTATCTTTGATGTATACTTAATTTGTTACAGCCATAAATATGAATAATTTAAATTTAAAAAAAAAAAATGAAATTTAAAAAGTAAAATAATTACAAGTATTACAAAAAATATCATATTGATGATACATATTCAATGATTGGATTTTGACCAATATTAAATTTAAATTAATGAATTAAATTTTGTAACTTTTCTCCGTTTTTTATTTTTTATTTTAGAATTTTGGTATTTAAAGGATTCATTTATACTATTCAGTTTGATATATGTTTCTATTTGAATTTCTTTTAACTTTTCTATGAACATAAAAATATTTAGATGAGTTGTACAAAAACTAGAATTAAAGCCAGAATGAAAAGACTAACATGCATTAGTGGTTAAAGTTGACTCTGCTGATACTTGAGCTCATACTTTAAATGGATACTGAGCTTCTTCACTTTTGTATACATCTACCAAATAATCCGAAAATTGTGTCACTCTTTCGTCATCAGGCTTTGATTTCATTAATAATTGACAAAATACTCATATACGCTATCTGAACTTAAAAATGGTAAACCGTAACATTGAACTATAAAATAACTACAGAAAATAAAATTTCTTTGATATAACTGAAAAATTACACAATTATAGAAACTTTAATAAAATAAAAGTTTTGTATATTTTACAAACGGCTCATAGCTTAAGTTGTCGCGCGCAGTTTACACTACAACTCTTTAACATAAATAAAAATTAGGGTGCAGTTTACATATACCCTTTTTAACGGGCAACGAAGTGCACATGGTCAGTTAACATATTACGATATATACTGGGCTGGTAACTAATTGACGGACAGACAGACACAACTAAGATCAATATTATAATGTGTAAACTTATGTTAAGAATTCTGAAACATGATATAAAATAACATTATATACATTCCAATATCAAAAAAAAAATTATCAAATATCTATCCAAAATTAAAATCCGTATTTTTAGTTCCGTGACAATTAATTTTAAAATACTCTATTGTATAATAAATATAACATAAATAGTAAATACATATACATATAATTATCTTGCACTCTTATGAAAATTAATAATAACAACTAAATACTTCACAAGAGAAATACGATTATACAGGTATAATAAATAAATTAAACGTTTTCTAGATCAATTAAATGTAATTCAGAAAATTACTCTTGGCCATGTTATTTGTGCTACTACAAATGTGGATCACGTACAAAGTGACATTTTTAAATTAGTCGATCACAAGTAAATATAAATATAAGAATTTGTTGTTTACCTTTACTATATTGTTAAATTTATTTCAGTTTATTTCCAACAAGCAAGCTAAAATGTGACGAGTTCTATTTAGATTTTAAGGAATGGCAAGAATCAAATGACTCTACAGAGTTGTAATCAAATCAAGTTAATTTACTACAGATGATTTACTACTTATAGTTTTTATAATTTTTTTTTTACCTCCTTATTTTAAAATACAATAAATTATTACATTGGAATGATCCTGTAAAGTAATACCAGCTGAAATAATTTTCTCTTAATAATAATAGTATAGTTATGCATTGAGCTTGAATATGTCCGTATAAATTAAAAATTATAAAAAAAAATCATTGGTCAACTCAACTGATGTCTGATCAACATTTAAAAGTTTTTTTTAACACATATATGCGTAACGCCATGTCCTAGCTGGTGCGTGCACGCAATGCGAGGTGATGGTGCGATATTTGACCGCACCGCACCGAATTCTAGTACCCGCAACAATGGCAAAATTGACGCATTCAAATACGCGGGAAAACGCATACGATTTGTTGATTTTAAACTTTAACTTATTTTTATAAGTAACCCATCAGTACCTTTCATGCATTTGTGCTGACAAGTATAAATATCATATGTTAATTAGTTAAATAGTATTTAAATTTGTTTGTGAATAATACATTTTAATTTACTATATTATGTCGTTAATTGAAGAACAACGAGGTTTAATCTTAATAGAAAATACTTATCTGAAGTATAAATTACTTAAAATGAGTAAAAAAATCTAAGAGATCTCCTCCAAATGTCATTTATAAAGATAGATTTATATTTGGAGAATTTCATCAACTGTATCCACAATTACGAGCAGATAAAGTAATGTTTCGTGCATACACGAGAATGAATACAGACACATTTGATTACATTGCTGAACATATAACACCAATTTGTCAAAAAGAATACTCAAATTTTCAAGATCCAATATCTGTTGAAGAACGACTGTTGATAACTATAAGGTATAACGTGAAAAACAAATTATAAACACTCTCATAGTCTTATTATTATGTTAATAAAAAGTGATGTACTATAATAGGCAAGTAGATATTATTATTTAAATTTAAAAATTATTTTCTAATTGTAAACACATATAATATACAATACAATAACACATATTAGGTCTTTTAAACATTTTTATTTTATCGAAAACAATAAAATAATATAAATAAGATACTTTTATTAAAGTCAAAATAATACAACTAGAAATAAAAAACAATATAGTTTGATAATAGAAAATAAAAAATATGTAACTTTTAAATAGATACCTCAACTAATGTAGGTATCTTACCTACAAAAATAAATGAAAATTATTATCAACTGTTTTTGAAAACTCATTAGCAAATAAAAAGTATTAATAATTATCATATTATTGAAAAATGATATTATATGTTATAATTTGGTGGATCAGTTTGTAGTGATAAAGACTGTTCAGTCGCTAAAGATTGCATAGGATGATGAATGGGTTGGAATGGAATAGGTTGTGATGATTGCATGAGTTGTACAGGTATTGGATATTGATAAGGATAAGTTAAATTGTTATTCATAGGTTGAGATGATGGTACAGACAGTTCTCTCATGATAACCTCTTGAATTTGTGTTCTTACTCTTAATTTTTGTAATGGAGTCATGTTACCGAAATAAGGGTGAATTGATTTAAAAAAATACATGTCCTCGTCGTCTTTTACTGCATTCCGTGATGAGTCAATAAAAGCTTCAATTTTTGTTTTTTCGAGTTGCAGTAATTGTTGTTCGAAACTTATTTCATCCTCCTTTTTTTTTCATTTTTTTTTTGTCCACTTGTTTTTGCACTTTTTGAGCTGTTTAACTCGGCAATAGGAGAATTATTTCTCGTCAATTGTATTTGTGCGTCATTCTGAGGTACTAATGAATCCATACCTTCAAAACTATGTGTCGTTTCCTTATCAATATCTTCCTCATCTTCTGTGTCTCCATTAGAATCTGATTTATGTTCGTATGAACGCCCTACCTCAATATCATCGTCGTCGTCATCATTAGAAAATGTACCCGACGTATTTCTAGGTGTCTCTATGTCTTTCAAAAATTGCATAGACATAAAATAAGACCATTTCCCGTGGTATTTTTCTAGGCTATCTTGAGACGATCCTGATTTCGGGTTTTTTTTCTTTTTTTAGTTCTTTTTTAAACTGATCCCTTAAATTTCGCCACCTTTTTTTTGCTTCATTGGCTAAAAATAAACGAAAAGTATAAGATTTTGAACGAAGTGATAAATTTATTGATTTTACAACAAGGTGTTTTTTTAATTTTTTTTTTTTTTTTTGCTATTATCGATATTTATAAAAAAAAAACTTAACAAAAACGAATATTTCAAATGCCTATAAAATATAACATTAAATTAAGGGAAATATTTTGAAAATTAAATCATGTAAAGAAAATGCCAATCTAAATAACAAGTAAAATTTTCAAGTATCTACTATTTATACTTTTTGAATAATAACAAATATTTAAAATCATTTGGGGATAAATCGTTATCGTTACGCAATTTCTTAAAAATTTAAAATTCAAACGTACTTAAAATTTTTCTTATAATGATGTTTCGAGTTTTCTACTTGAAGGAAAACTTATGGAAAACTGACTTTAGATATAAACACAAACAATTTTATGATTTTTCAACTACAAAATTACTTGCAAATTTTCGCGATTTTAACATATATCTATCATAAAAATTTGAACTATAAACGCTTATAAAAAAAAATTTAGATTATATATAATTATAAATAGGTCTGTGAATTTAATGCACTAAAATCCCTTAAAAAAATGCAATAAATATGCTTTTAAAATGCCAAAAATTATTATAAAATGCACTTACAATGGTTTTTATTTTAATTTTTATATTTATAAAAGTTTTATTAATGGATTTGTTGTTATATAATTCAAACTATGTACTTACGTATAAAGCTACGTTTCACAATCATCAAAAAAATGCACTTTCCTACAAATTCATAGCCCTTACTATAAATTCAAGTCCAACGATATTCCATTATTTATTTTATAGATACCTCGCCACAGGAATTGCGTTCAGACAAATTGCGATGAGTTTCAGAGTATCAAAAACTAATGTTAGTTCTATTGTTATTGAAGTTTGTCAGGCAATTTGGACTACACTACGTGACGTACATATGCGAAAACCAATAATTAAAGATTTTGAAAATACTGCAGACGCATTTTACAATAAGTGGAACTTTCCAAACTGCATAGGTAGCATTGATGGAAAGCATATACGAGTTAAATGTCCAAATAACTCTGGCAGTATGTATTATAATTATAAAAATTTTTTTTCAATCATTCTATTGGCTATTGTTGATGCAAACTACCGATTTGTGCTGATCGATATCGGAGCATATGGTAAGGACAGTGATAGTGGTGTTTTACATAATTCAAAAATATACCATCGTATTGACAAAGGAACATTAAAAGTGCCTAACGCAAAATTACTTCCGAATACAACAAATATGGCACCTTTTGTATTTATTCGTGATGAAGCTTTTCCTTTGAGAGAACATTTGTTAAGACCCTTTCCGAAAAAACAATTAAGTGACGAGAACAAATCGTATTATAATTATAGGTTATCTAGAGCTAGAATGACAGTTGAATGCGCATTTGGCATAGCGGCATTAAAATTTCGTATACTTCAAAAATTGATTGAAACAAAAATCGAAAATGCTGACCATATCGTCAAAGCTATTTGTATTTTGCATAATGTGATTATTGATCTTGAAAAAAATCAATCAGACATAAAAAATATAGAAAATGAAAATGGGATATTAAGTAAAAATTATTTGGATAGTATTCAAGGTGGCAGATATACTAATAGAACATCTCAAACCGTTCTAGAAATAAGAAATACATTTGTAAAATATTTTAAGGACAACAAAATATAATTTCATATTCTACTTTTATTTTATAATGTTATATTATGTTACTTGTTTTTTATATTATGTTTAATACATACATACGATCTTAGTTTATTATATATTTATATTGTCTATTAGATATATAAAAAAAAAACATCTACATGTAACTTATATAACCAATAATTTTAGAACATATTTAACTAATTATTATTATTTTTTCCATTAACTAAATTGTATTTTTAAAAACTACAATAAATTAAGTTTGTGGAAAGTTTAATAAAGCTATACTTACCAGTAATTCCTGTGGCTTTTGAAACCTCTGCCCATGCTTTGGCTCCTACAAGCCTATCTTTGTATTTTTTATGCTTTTTGTTCCATAACACATTATGCTTTTGGACTTCAGAAATCAACAATTCTGTTTTTTCAAAATCTGTATACGGCATTTTGTACAGAAATGTAATTAACAAATAACAAATAAATTTAAACAATAATGATCATCCACTCTCTATTGCGATAACGCATATCGCATGCGACGAAAAACAAACTATTTTGTATTTCAAACATGCCAGTGCGGTGCGTTATCGTGAATTAAACGCGCGCGTCAGCAATCAGGACAGTCAGATCTATTTCTGGACGTTTGTTATTATTAGAAATCGCATGCGTTTGCGGTGCGTGCACGCACCAGCTAGGACATAGCGTTATGCCGCAACATTTTTAACTATGAACTCGTCCTTAAATACTGTAATCTAAGTTATCATCGTACAGAAATGGAATACAACTACTGATAACTAAATAAGGTACTATAAATATTTAATATAATATAAATATTGCTGTATATTATAGATAGCCGTAAACATTATTTATATATATGTTATATAATAATATTTTTTTATAGCAGTTCAGTGATTAATATATGTTAGACCACTTAGACTAACAAAACACTATTGTACTAAAAAGGCACTAAAATATGATTATTTTACACCCCTGTAAGAGTAGTTCCGCTTTTTATATTAATTCATTTCTACCTAGATTAAATTGATTTTATCTGCATCTCTGTTTAGATATATTTTGAGTTCAAATATCTTATCCATATCTAGACACAAAAAAAAATATCTAAACACAACACTGATTACTAGTTAATAGAAATATCAAAAAAACATAACATGAATTAATATACTTAATGATATAAGCTGATGCACTGTCTCGGCTCAGAATTGATTTTCAAACCTATACAATTATACACCATTGAATTAAAATTTTTGTTGGCATGATCATTTAAATTATTAAGCATATTTTCAAATAATTATAAGTGATTTAAACTAAAATACATATAGCCATATTTGTATTAATATTTTTTCTATAATATTTAACAAAATCATGTTTTAAGAATAAGATTTATAAAAAATTTGAAAAAAGTTAATTAATTTCTATCTAGATTAAATTGATTTTATCTGCATCTCTATCTAGATATATTTTGAGTTCAAATGTCTTTTCTATATTTAGATACAAAAAAAAATATCTAAGCACAACACTGATTACTAGCTAATAGAAATATTAAAAAGACATAACATGAATTAACATACTTAATCACTTAGTGATATAAGCTGATGCACTGTATCGGCTCAGAATTGATTTTCATACCTATACAATTATACATCATTAAATTAAAATTTAATACAATCATCACACTAACCAACTTATCGCTTTTCACTTACTGAACTGCATAACGATACCCATTTCCCTACTTTTTATAATTTATTCTGCGATAAACAATATGATAGATTAAACTATTTTTTTTTTTTTTACATATATTATATTACATAATACTTACATATTATTATTACATTTTATCAGGCAATATCATTATTAATTTATAAGACAATACCAATACACAGTAAAATTGCATAAATGGGTTTACATATAATCAAAAACCACCTGAGTTAAAAATTGAAGCATTTTTAACAATTGAACATACACAAATAAATTAAAATAAACATCATTGTTAAGCCAATATATTCATTATCCTGCATTCCTGCTCAAAATGTATTAACTGGAATCTAACTTGTAAACAATATTTATGAAGCTAATAACGTATGTTAAAACTTATGAGCCACGAATAATTAATATTTTGTTCGAAAATATATGATTATATAAAATACAAGAATTTTGAATTGATTTTAGGCCAAAGTTTATTGGAGATAAATATTGACTTATCTACAATTATCTAAAATTTTTCAACACTGGTTATAACAAAAACCAGTTAAATAATTATACATATTTTTTTCTAATATATAAAAATTTAATAGTGGCCTAATTATCGGATACAATAATAAAAATTGTTAAAAATAGTGACCCAATCACCGAATCTACCATTTATAAATGTAAAATAGGGGTAATCTACTTTTCCGCCAAAATTGATCTTTTCATTTACCGCCAGTACAATAATATATATTTCCTTTTTCCGCCACCACAAATTTCAGTTTCTATATTTTGGTAACCCCTTACCATGTTAACAAATGGAGTTATTAATAATTGGTAATGATTTTTAAAATACATATATAAAAATTATAAAATTATAATAAATATTAAATATAAAATATTATATAAAAAAAATAATTAGATATTCAATTTTTAATTAAATATATGATTTAACAAAAACACATTTAAGTGATACTTAATATTAAAATTAAATAGAAAACTAAAATTATATAGAATATTGTTTAATGTTATAACTTTTACAAAAAAGTCTATATTACGATGTACAAAACAACATCACAGTCAAACATTTATTTATTTTATTTATTTCTTATAGTTATACGCTATTAATTTTACAAAAGTATATCGGCATATTTCTCTTCTTTTAAACTGATCAATTAAATACTGGTTTTTTTTTTTTTTTTTGTCATTTTAAAATTTGGCTTCGTGGTGTGAACATATGATCTGTGATAAACTATATTATATAGGTATATTATGTAATATTTTAATTCTTTCAATCAGGGGTTATCAAAATATAAAAACTGAAATTTGTGTTGGTGGATAAAGGAAATATATATTATTGTACTGGCGGTATACGGACTTGGCGGTAAATGGAAAGGTCGATTTTGGCGGAAAACGGTGACACCCGTAAAATAGAAGTAGCCCAATTACCGTATACATTTTTGAAAAAAGTTTAATTGTGTCCCAAATTTCAGGCGTTCAATTTTTTTAATGAAATCTTCAGATACACCTTAAGAACTCTCGCGACACACCAACGTGTGTTGTGGCAATCAATTTAAAATTTACCGGTAAAAATTTACTAGTATTAGGTTATATATAAATAAGCTACTAGAACTATTACAGATGTTCCAGTCAAAAACTGCTTCATATACTTAAATATTTTAAATATCACTAGTCAAAACCCGAAATAAGGATAGGTAGGAACCTAGATAACAACAATAGAGCACTAGAGAATGATAAATGACAATAAAATATAGCTTTAATAATAAAATATAGCTGCAGTTGTACAATCAACGTCTACGGGCCGTGTACCGTATAGGAGACAGACCCGTATGTTTTCATGGGTAATTCCAAGGGATATATGAACATATTAATATTATATGCAATAATAAATGCATAACTATAATTAAAAGGTATTTGCAGAAATACGCCATCATTATTATAAGTAATTAGTATTATATATATGTATATATCATATAAAATGTTGTGTTTTCCATTATTGAACAGAAATTATAACTAATAAGAAATGACCTGCAGGTGCAATGTACATATTAATAAATGGAAATAATACAACAGCCAACAATTATTGGCTACTGAGTACAGACTATCAAGATATATTTAATACATTATGAATTGTGGCTGCTTTAAATTTGTACTATCATATTATTATATTAAATTACATTGTTATGGAATATGGTTTTCAAACACAAAATATAAAAACGTAAATAGGTATTTTAATATTAAATAAATACTTATACATAAAAAATATCTAGATAAATTTATATAGATAACTGCATTTTTTATCTAAGATAAAAAAAAGATGACCAGTAAAATTGAATCTAAATAATATAATAGATAATAATATTTTCATGTAGATAACTATCTAGATAAATCCCAACACTGTGAATAACTCATGTAGTACTCTCGCACTACACTTGTACACTTTAATTATTTAATGACGTGCTTCGATGTCTTGTTGTTGATATTTGGTAGAGTGTAGAGTCACAAAGGTATGTTGAAATAAGTAAATAAAGCCAAAGTTATATTATACGTTAAAACAGTATGTTTTAATAAAATAAAGTAAAATTAGAAATAGTAACAATGTAATGAAATTGCACTTATAATTTGAAGGCAGAGTTTACGCCCGGTACCTAAGAACTACGTGCAGTAAGCTAGTAGAAGTAATTCTAACTTATGTTCTAAAATAATACCCTTATATACACATAACCTTATCCGTGGCGTGATCCTAACAAAGCCACCGGATAGGCTTAAATAAAAATACATGCATAGGAGTTGTTTACGCCAAATCCATGAATAATCATAAAATATATAACTTTTATAATCATTCTAATATTATTTATAACATCACATATTTAAAAATATCCATGAATATGCGTTTTTTAATCGAATAGGCCAAAGGACAAAATGGCCGAAAGCCTTCCCAAATATGTATGTAAAAATACAATACCAGGAAACACCAGTTATACTAGTAAACATGGTTTACTACACTCACTAATAATTAATAATCGAGGTTCTACTGCATATCGGTGCCACTATATACCAAGTAAATACGTTCTAAGAGCGTTTTCAAAATTATTATATCACTGTTTATGAGATGAAAACTTGTGTTATTTAATACATTTTATATTTTATAGAACAAAAAGATTCACATTTCACGAATTATTTCTCGATATGACAATGTTACCATGAAAATTTAATTATTATTATATGATTTATATAATGTGTGTTTTATATTAAATCAGCGCTGTGGCTTTTGTTTATTTTTCTATACTATCCATACTGATTATCTTATGGCCACTTTGCTAATAAATATTCGACTCTGACACTCTAAATTTATAAGTCAATATCATCAAAAATTGTAGAATGGTGTCAATAGATTTGTGATATAAATTGTTAAAAACTAGTATAAATATTTTAAACATTTTTATGGATACATGAAATTTCTATAATGTTTCAAGATTTTACGATTTTTTTTTTTTTTTTTTTTTGTTGATAATAATATATAACATAAATCTTATAAAGACTAATTTTTAATACCAAATGTTATCAAAATTTAAATTCAAAAGTTCTTTCAATGATTTATGTAGCTTAACAATTAATATTATTATTATTATTATTTTAATTTCAATAAAATACCTATAAGAAATCTTGTATTCATTTTTATAAATTTATTAAATCCATAAATTTTGTATTTAAATTAAAAATGCTATGAAATTGTAATATCAAAATAATTTATACATTCCTACGGTTTAAATGAATTTCATAAAAATTTATTTATAAAACAATTTGAACTGATTAGTATAAGTATAACTAAAATCAAATATGTTAAAGGATTTAGATTTTACTAACTTATATTTTGTCACTCCTATTTCAAAAATTTATATTTTTAAATAAAAAATAATAAACACGTACATAAATATTTAATATTTTAGTCGCTAGCTTTAAATTTTATTTTTACATAAATTGTCTGTTTTTTATACTACATATATTTTCAAGAAAAGTTTTAAATATTAAGTAACATATTATATTTTAACTAAATAATTTATATTTTAAACCATGTAAAAAAATTAAGTATTTTTAGCAACCATTTAAACAATGGTTTATTAGCCTATATCGCCTTAAGTATATTTCATGATAATTTTTGATATTACTATTTAAGTAATTTATTTTACTATTGGTAATACACTTACACTATAGGTTAAATTAATTTTTGTTGATAAAATTAATTTATAAAAACATTGTATATTTAAAATATAATAATAAATATAACAATTTTATGTCTTTGTAAATAATGTTTTTGTGCTAAACAAAATAATGAATACTGTTACTCATAATTTAGATTTTCAGTACCGTCTGAACTTAAGATGTCTACAAAAATAATAAAGCATATATTTTTTTGATTTTTTGGTTTCAATATCAATTATTTATAAGAATCGTTGTATTACACTTATTCAAGTCTTTACTACTAACATTGTAAATTTTAAGCTATAACACAATTTACAAATGTTTGTAATTTTAATGAAGTTTTTCAAAATTTGTACTTTAAACTCTTACAATAATACATTATATTATACATTATTTTTAATATTTTGACATATTATTAGAATAATTTATGTGGTATCTGATATTACATTTACAAGCTATTTTTGACCAAAGAATAAAAATGTTAACTACATTTTACAGAAAAGAATAAAAAAAAAATTTAATTTAAAATGTCTATAAATTACTTATGAAGAAGCAATTCATTTAAAAAAATTATTACGTAAGAAAATCATTTGTTGAAAATTTTAAGTATCTACGGTTATTTAAATTTTTAAATTATACAAAAAAAAATCGATTTTATCAAAAACTTGTTTGCACAAAAATTTCCGTTTTTCGTTAATTTTTTATTTTGTTTTTCACAATTATTTTTAAAAGTACTGGAAATATTTAGAAAAATCAAAACATTTTTTTTTTTTTTACATCTTACTTTGTATATTTTAACAAGTTGAAGTTGTGTTGCTCTAAAACTATATATAAAAAAAAAATAAACATATTTGTAATTTTATATAGATACAATACTTTCATCGATCTGCTTAGAATTTATTAATTAAATTAAAAATAAATTAATTTTCTTGTTTCAAGAATATTACAGTTTAAATTATTTTTAATTCTCATTCATGATATCATTCCATAGTATATTAACGCATAAGAAAGACATATTCCACTCATTTGTATACTGTGTATTGTATTTTTATTTCAATATAGGCACTTTTAAACTTAAAGAAGTTACTAAGACATAATTTGAATTTGATAACATTGATATTTGTTGATTGTTATCTTTAAATAGGTATAAACTCTTATCAAAATCATATATAAATTTATACACAGTTCAGGGTTTTACACAAAAACAACTTTTTATACTACAAAGGCTATTATATTAAATTAAAAACTATTGTATTAAAAACTAAATATATAATATTATCTCATTTAAAAAAATATTTACTTTACATTTTGTATAAAATAAAAAATAAGAAAAACAATAAATATTTTTTAATTTTATACTTGATAAATATATTTGCATCTAGTCGTTCTTCCTTATTCACACACAGTGAGTTGAAAGTTCATTAAAAAAATATAATCCTTTACATTTTTTCATAAAAAAAATCTGTAAAAATAAAAACTTTTATATTGTGACCTCTTAAGAGAACTTTGAAAGCTTTAAAATACAAATGTTTAACATACTAAAATTGTATTCATAAGAATTAATTTTATGTAGTAGAGCTCCCACATTCGTACTTAAAGTTTCAACAACAAGGTTCCTTGTATTAACGGTGCTCATTTTAAAATAATTTTTATTTGATACTAACCATGGACGTACTTAGGGGGGAGGGGGTGGAAAGATTAGGCAAGTACACCCCTAGAATTTTAAATTTGTTTCCTAATTGTAATAATTTAATGTTATACTGACGAAACATAATAATGTTCTATAAATAAAATGTATAATACCTAATTGTAATAATGATAAAACATGATAATGTACTATACGTAAATAAAATGTATAAAAAAAAATCTTTGAGAAATATATCTGGAAACGCCAATGATCCTAACGATAAATCTCATATCGTGATTATACTCCTGAAAATTGATTTAAATTCGTAAATAAATTTAGTTAAGATTAATTTAAGCCACATTTTGAAGATTTTGAATTTTGATTTTTTGTAACTAAAATTCATAATCTCATACATTTTAAATAATCAAATCAAATTTGTTAGGAGAGTCAGGGAACGATATTTGAAAAATACGATGGTTGACCTCAAATAAACATAATACCAAGTTTAAATAAGTTTTCAAAAGTATAATTATGGATATAATAATCCCTTAGAAATAATAAAAGTACTAGAACCATCAATATTATTTGTTAGAGATTGGTACATTTTAGTTGAAATTACTGATCATTTGCAGTTCACTTAATATTATAATAAAAAAATAAAAAATAATTACATTATTATACCTTACATCTAATATGCTTTGGAATTATTCACCATGCAGTTAAGTCAATTGTGTATGTTTCGCAGTTGGGCTCTAGTTTCATCAATCGTCTAAAGTATTATATGAATTTGATTATTACAATACTTCAAAACTAAAATAAAATAATTATTTATTTACTTACAAATGATCAATGAACCTGAATGCATCCTTTTGAATATTTTTTATACCTGATGTAACACAGATTATATGACTAATTGTTATATTCTTCAACGACTGTATTTGATCTAAAATATACGAATTTAAATCAATTTTTAGTTATGTTATGATTAAAAAAAATAAATAATATATTTGTAGAGATATCCATTTTTTTGTTATTAATTTGCATTTATTTTATTATTACTATATAATTATTATAAAATAGATAATAAATACTCAGTACTCACTTTATATATTATTATTTATTGTTGTTAACTTTTAAGTCTATATTGACCTACATAGAGCATATTCAACGGTGTAAATAGATAGACAATAGCATAACATTATCCCAAATGTTTTAAAAAGTCATTGTGGATGTAAAATATAATAATACATAAAGAAGTTTCAAATCTCTATTAGAAATATATTTTTGAATAACAATAAAAAAATTAAAATCGTTTTTTTTTTATTATTATAAATAGTTCAAATTAGAATTTTAAATGTTTATAAGAGAGAATTGTGTTAATATATATATTTTATTTTTTGATTCTTGTATTAAATATTTATGAAAAACTTTGTATTAAATGTTTAAGTCTGAGTTTTGAAAATATTTAAAGAAATAGAGGCCAGCATACTGTCTTTGCTTTAAATATTTTTTCGTATATTAAAATGAATTACCAAGAAATTATTCAAGAAACTATCCAAGAAGTTGAATTTTACATACTCGTAATGTAATGACTTTTTTAATTAAATTATAATGACTTATCTGTCAATAACTAATCAATATCTATAAATAGCTGAATGAGTTCTTCGTTATTTTTTATTTTTTTTTTTATTTACCAGGAGTGAAACTTCCAGGTTGATCTTTAACGTCGTAAAAGAAACGATCACCGTTTCTAAATCGATAAAAACTGTCGGCAATAATACAACTTCCAGTAGGACCAAGCATGGATCCGTTCATTTTATTTTCCAATAAAATTCCAACAAAATAATCAATATCATCAACCGATGAATAAAAATCTTTTAACTGATCAATTTTCTATAAATAGAAATCAAGCTAAGTTAAATTATTTTAATATTAAAAAAAAAAATAATATGAATAAATTGGGCGAAGTAAACTACTTACCTTTGATGGTATGTAATCCGATAAATCATCAAATAAATTGACTTGTGGTAGCCCGCATAAACTTCTCAATTTAGTGTAAGGAGGAAGACCAACATCACGACCGCGTTGTATGTCATAAGAAAGCAGATCAAATCCAGTAGTATCGATTAATTGACTTTGAATAACAATATTTGAAATCTTTAAATATATATATTAGTTAAATTATTTATAGATATTGCAATCAATAAATTATAATGTATCTACTTCGCTATTGTATGATGACTGGGGTTTACGTCCAGCAGATTCAGCTAAACCTCTAATGAATCCATCAACATTACCAATCAATGAATCTGGTCTTAAAAACGTTTTGGAAGGCTCTTCCACTTCATATGTAGTGTAATTTTTGGACATATAGCTGTAAAATGTCGCAAATATAAAATTACTTTACAAAATTATCTAAAAACTATATAAAAAAAGATCCATTTTTATTTAATTAAAATTCAATCAACATTTACACATACTTATAAGTTATGAATCATAACTTATGATATATAATATAAATAACTACTATTAGTTTTTAACACAACAGCTCCTCAATTATTTTATTATTAATAAAAAGTATTTTGAAGTAAATTTATCGTTATTTGACCTTGTTTTGTATAAATTTATTAGAAATAATGTATGCTTAAAAACATACACATTATATTAAATTATTTCAATTTAGATGATTTTTTTAAAATTTATTTGTATTAAAATTGAATTCGTTAAAATAAATATGCAATTTTATTGTAAATATTTTAGGTAGCTTATAGTTACGAAAAACAAGAATATATTCAACATAGATTCATAATTTTAATATTCTTCTGATAATAACACAATACATTACACAAATATGGGTATAGAATTCTAAATTTTTTTTTGTTTTTAATGATTTTATTCCAATAGAAAAAAATGCTTTTATAAGTATGTTATTGTTAATCATCTGTGAATATTTGAAATTTAAATAATACTATTGATAATTAAAATAAAAACAATAACATTACATTTCAAAAATTTTTTTACAGTAGTTCGAGTTACATAAATAAGTCTAATATTTTAAACTTACATTACATGATAAATAATTATAAAGATATTTTCTAATCTTAGATTTAGACTTTTAAAGCAAAAATTAAAGATTAAGGTATTAAAATATAAAAATATTTAATATACTTGAATTTGGCAGGAATTATGTTGTGAAGTAATCGATATGCACCACTCGTCATCTCTTGTGCCGTAGAAGGAATTATCGTTGGATCATAATTTGTTTCGTTATTTAAGCCATATTCATTGATATATTTTTCTCCTTAAGTAAAATATGATTTTAAAAATGTATTAATTTTTTAAATGTTAAATCATTTTTACCCAAAATTATTGGCAAAAAATTATTGTATGTAATAATTTGAGTAACAGCTATAACGATCCTACGCGTTTCTTGATAAACAGTCTCATCAGTCCACAAAAGATGCTTTTCTTGTAATTTTTTTGCAATATAATTATGAAATCTTAGGAATAAATTTTGAATTAATGCTATTCCTAAATTCTGGTTTACATTTACGTCTCCTGTATTCACAAAATACATTTAATATTAATTGAATAAAATATATTATGCTTTAAACATAAGAATTATCTAAAATAAATTGTTTAGAAATAATAAATTAATTAAAGTATAAGAAACTTTAAAATGGAAAAAATGTATTATTTTTTTTAAATTTTAGTATAATTATTATTAACTATGAATTATTGAATTGAAAAAAAATATTTCAGAAAAGTAGAAAATAAAATTTAAAAAAAAAAGTAATTTTTTTAGAAATTGGAATATTTTAAACAAAATAGTCTATTACCTGCAACAAATGCAATCGTTACATTAGTCTCATTCCCTTTTTTAAAAACTTTACTAGAATCTTGAGGACAATATTCTTCCTTTCCAATTGTATTGTATACCAATTGTCCTCCACTAAACAGACGTAATTCATTTGCAAATTCTGAATCGGAACCATACACATTTGATGAGTCGATAAAATGCGTGTTTTTATTAAGCTAAATTATAAATAATTGAAAAATAAAAATTTAGTAAGTCGTGGTGAATTATTTTACTATTGACATTTAAAATGAGAATTAAGAATATTAGTGTATTTCTAGTATAAAAATGATCTTATATTAAATTATATAATACAATTTATGGATATCATATTGTATATTATAGTATAAAAATAAACAATTTCATTGTCAAAAATATAACTCTTACCATAGTAAATTATTATTTTCTTAGTACAAACAATATTTTAATTAACTTATATTCTAGTTTAATGATAATAATAATAAATACTAACAACTGTATCAGGAACTAAAGAACAGTTATAAGCTTCTGAAGTTATGAGACGCATGAATTTCAAAATTGTCATATTGTATTTTCCATACACTGGGTCGTTTGGGCTTAATGAAATGGCTGCTTTACATTCTATTGGTGAATTTTCGTCATCGCAATGGCTTAGATTAACTTTTTAATAATATACACATAGGCGTGGTTAAAACATCGAAAATAAGTTTGATTCGTTTGTAAATTCTAATACAATTTTACCAGGAAAAGATGAATTGACACTACGAACTGGAGAATAAGCCACATCGTGGGCGATAAATTGGCCCCATGGTACCAAGATTTCATTGTATTTATCATCACAACTATTACTCATATCTTGGAATAACGTTAGAGTAAGGTTTCGAGCATTTGGTAACGGACTTCCGTCCGATTGTACACGAAAAGCTGAGATTCCTAAAACCATAATATTAAGATTAAGTTTTTGTTATGTATATACTATATAGTTTATGTTAAATCAGTTATCAGTTATCCATAACAGTCTAATATATTTTTATGTAAAATTAGTTGTTTTATTCATAAGTTATAATATAATTATAAAAAATTAAACTTTTTTTTTTAAATTACCATCACTAAACTCCGGATTCATATATCTATAAAAAGGAGTTAGTGCTGCACCCCAGTTAGGATTTTGTAAATTATTGCATGATCCATTAATTGTCCTGTATTTTGCGTGTGCGTCACACGTTATTTGTGGTGCACATTTATCGAAATAATCATTGTTGATTGTCGCCGCACTATTTAATCTTAAAGTAGGTATTTTCTAAAATATCAAAAGTAGTTTTTAATTATTATAATTAACTATTTAACACATGATTGATTTGATATTTAAAAATATATATATATATATATATACTCGTATATTTACCGCTGTTGGTTTATTGAATATCGTAAAAAGTGCACATAAGACAATTAATATGCACAGTATAGCGGACACAATGAGCGTTACATTTCTTAGTTTACACCATTTCGATTTTGATTTTAAATCAATTATTAGAGGGCTGAAAATGTTAAAATTTAGTATTAAAATATTTTAATAACTGTAATACAATTTTTTTAATTTAAAATAATTTTGTTATTGATATTATATGAGTTTATATTTTGATTTGTAAAATATTACCTGAGATATTATTTTAATTTGTATTTTGAACTACTATTGAGATAAGTCTAAAATATTTACTCTGTATTTTTCAATGTATTAATGATTTTTAAATATCATTGATGAGCTAAATGCTTATATATACTAATTTAGTGATCACATGCATTCGATAAATATAAACTTTAATTAATATTTCGATAAATAATATATATACTAATTTAGTGATCACATACATTCGATAAATATAAACTTTAATTAATATTTCGATAAATAATTTATAATGCTTATACAATTGATTATAATATATATGTATATAAAAAAAAAATCCCCTTGTAAAATTCAGTATTCGAATTTCTTTAGCATAGATTGGCAATTAATATAATTTTTACCATATAACACATTATTGTAAAACCGATACATTTATCGCTTTCTTATGGTTTTTGCGGTGAAAACACCGGTTCGTTCTTAATCATATTTTCTTCTGAGTTATAGTAACTTATCATGAATTATTAAAAATAAATTTATGCATGAACAACACTTAATCATTCATTTAATGAAATATAATATAATAACTAGAGCTAAGATTTTAATGACTTGTATTTTTTTTCTTAAAGTGCTATACAGTTTTTAACAAAAACTAAATTTATTTTATGATATAACAATTTAGAAAGCGTAGTTTTTATTTAGCATTGTTCATGTTAAATTCATTTTATGGCATTTTTAAGGTTATTTTACAAATATTACGTACATTTTGTGTATTTTAACTTATTTTTGTTTGTTTTGAGTTTTTTTGAATATGTGTTGTCTAGTTGTCTAGGTAATTTCAATTATTTTTGCTTTTTTTTAATATATGCAATTTTGTGTATTTTTTAAGTCATTAATATCCTAGCTCTAATAATTAAATTCCAAACACGGATTATATTTTAAAAGGTTCTCTGCAGAAACTTAAGTTATGATGTTAGATAATTTATAAAATAGGAAGGTAAAAAATAACATTGTTATCAGTTGTACCATAGCTTTATTTTTCTGCCCAATATATATTAAATGAGAAATATAGACAAGTTATAAATTCTTAGCCTAAAAAAATCTTGCATTTTTCTTTAAAAACGATTAATAAGTGTGTAATTAAGCCCGGATTAAGGGGGGCAGGAGGGGCCAAGTCCCCGGGGCCCACGTGTGTTAAGGGCCCATAGTTTTCTCGGTTTAAAATTACATTAAGTGATAATTTGTACTTTTTATAGTACCTAGATTAGTACCTATAAAAATATTTTTATTTTTTTTTTTTGTTTGAGCTAACAGTCGATGGGGCCCGTCGACCGTGTTTACCACCAATAGTATGGTAAGTGAGGAAACATAGCGTCATATCCATGTTTGTGTTTGTTGGGAATAGGCATATATTTTGTTATTACTGTATTTAAAAATAGAATTTGGAAAATTTGTTTATGTGACTGTCTCGGTCATGGATACTCATAATTTAGATACCTACCGACTAAACCTGTTTACATAAACAAAACTTAATTTTATGTGAAAAAATATATTTTAATAAAAATATAATATTTTTTTAATATTTTTATCCTCATCAATCGTTATCATTAGAAAGCGGATTTTTAGGTTTTTACATATTTTTATTGGTTTTATGCAGCTTTATGAGAGTGAAAAATGTGGACGACTTAACCATCACAGAGTTCGTAGGAAAAAATTTATTTAGCATATTAAAGCATATTTTGGACTTAAGAGAATATTTAGCCTATTTTTCATATTTTAGAATTTAATATTCTATTATTGTTCATAAAAAATCATATTATACATTATTAATTTATAGATTTGTGATATTTTCCAGCAACAATTTTGTCTAGGAAAAAAATTATTTTATATAAGAATGATAAAAATTAAAAATCATCCAATTATCTACTTGTTTGTAATCAAATTGGTAATGATGATCATTCTGTTACTCTTAATTCATGATTGTACTTACGATCTTATAATAACGTGATAAGAATGATTTCTAATAATGAATATATATTTTTACTTTTATATTGTTTATTATTTTAACTTTAATGTCTGACGATTTAGTAAAATTTGTAATATTCATTTTTATTTTTTTTAAATACCGAAAATTAACAAAAGTTTAAAATATTTACATAAACAGAGGATAGAGTTGTATAATAAAACAAATGATATAGTATTTACGACTAATGCTGATATAGTTTAGTAGGTAACTAAGTATGAACTAATTTTGTTTTTATTAATTGTATTTGTTTTTTTATTAATATTTCATTATATTTATAAAGGTAACTAAGTATGAACTGATTTATATTTTATAGTTAAATAACTTAGGTGTTACTAAAGGCCATACAAGTTATGTATTTTTTATAGTTAAATATTTTATATGTTACCAAAAAGGAATGGTACATAAGTTATTTATTGTTTTAATTGAATTATTTTGGATAAAAAACAAATCATATTATCTGCATATTTACATTTTTAAAGAATATTTAGAGAATATTTTAGGGTTTTTTTAGAACATATTAGCATCATATTTTAAGCTTTTAAGAACCTAAAAATCTGCTCTTTAATTATCATACTTAAATAAAAATGTTTAAATTTGTTTTATTGTATAATTTTATAATTTTATAATTTTAAAGAATTATTTTTATTGACGGGGGCCCAGAACCATGTATTGGCCCCTGGGCCCCTGAAGCTCTTGATCCGGGCTTGTGTGTAATAACTATATTTCTTATAACATTATAAAAACCGAGTTAATACCTAAACCAAAACAGTTTTATTTAAAACGGCGCTAAACGTATTTTCTGAATGATGTATGTAAAAAATATTTTTTTTTTATAAATATATATACAAAAAAACAGAATAGGTACTAAACTCACAAAATATATATTATCACTGCAGTGGTGTAGTGGAGCGTATACGTGGAGGGCAAATGTAAACTCCCCTAAAAAATAAAATAGTAAATTCCCCTAATAGTAAACTCCCCTAAAAACATTTTGCTACCGTATTAAACTTATGTAAATTCCCCTAAAAACATTTTGCTACCTTATTACACTTCCATACAGTTTTGCATTTTTATTTCAATTTTTTCATTATTTATTTAAATTTTATTAATTAATTGATATTTTCGTTATCATTAAATTATTAAATCATCATCGTTATTATTAAACTAAGTATATTTTAGTTACATTCAATATAATAACCATTTTGTAAAAATAATTTTATTTTTGTAAATTCAAAACATATATTCGTTAAATTAATGATGTATTTGATAAAATTAACAAAATTCTAAGTTATTTTAATAAAATTTCGATAAAATATATTAGTTGAACTAAATAAAAAAAATATTAAATCAAATAATTTTTTATTTTAATTTTAAAAATTTCTCATCTTTATATCAATAAGCATTTTATTAACTTAATATTAACAATGATATTATTATTAATTAGATAGAATTGTATCCACGTGGTGTCCTCTGAGTTACGCTAAATGGTTCTAAATTTTTTTAGGGGAATTTACGTAAGTGTTATACGGTAGCAAAAAGTTTTTAGGGGAATTTAAAAAATTTTAGGGGAGTTTACATTTATCCTACGTGAATATACGCGGGTATACGGCATATGGGATTGCATTTATTTTATAAACCAATTCAATAAATAATTTTTAATTAATAAATACAATTTCGAACAAACCTTATCGATTTGACGGTTTCTATAATCAAAACAGTTGCTAATATTAAAGAAATTCATAGCATTTCGGTGAAATCAAAAAGCGCAAATCATTAATTTTTTTGATAAACAAAAAGCACAAATTCATTTTGCGCTTTTGTACCTTAGTAGTGGGATAAAAGTACAAAAATAAATATTGCACCCGTTATACTATAAGTATAATATTTTAATTAAATATATGTATTTTTATAATTCAAAAATACATCAACAGTGATCGCGTTCAGTTTAAGTTTTATATGATTGTCACAATTTATAGTAAAGGTTGATAATTATTTAATATAACTACGTAATATATACAGTATAAACTTATACCTAACTTATAAAATACACTTTATTTTTTGTAAAATGTATTTGCGCTTATGATTTATTAAAAAGGTATTTTTTCACAATTATGGATTACAGCTTAGTATTTTTTAGTATAACATACGACAGTACACTATTGTAATCAGACATTAATATCTATTGTATAGCGTAAATATACTGACCATAGAGTAATTTAAATACATTATGAGAAAACATATTATATGTAACTGATAAAATGCTAAAAGATCTCAAAAAGTTGCACGGATAAAATTAAATAAAGAAAAAGCTAGTCTGTGGAAAGTTTTATAATTTATTTATTTGTTTATATACTTTTTTAATTTTAATTTACTTATTTTTTATAAGCTAAGCATGTTAGGTGCCTGGATAGATACCAAATTTAACAGTAGCTCAACATATCTGTAGTAATTTCAAAGAAAATGAGATATATTTTATTTTGTATACGAGTATTAATATTTTATTCTAATTTTATTCTGTTTTTTTGTTTTTATTAACTAATAGTATAATTAAAACTTATAAATCTTATTAAGTTATTTGATTATAACTACTTAAAAATTAATATTTCTTAATTATTTATTATCTAGATAATCATAAAAAATTAAAACGTATAATATATTTTTAGAAGTATGATTGTAGACTGTAGAGACTCAATTACGGCATGGTAATAATAAAGTAACATAATGTATCTTTGTAATTATAAATATAAAAAAAATAATAATGTAGTATACTAAGGGGGTGTGGGGCAAAGCCTTTAATAAAGGCGTAACTAGACCTTAAAGTTAGGGGGGGGGGGCTTTAGCCCTAGAATTTTTATTATAAGTAAATTAGTGGGAGGCTCTGCCCCTCATACCCCTCGAACACCTTACATTCATTGATTATACATATAATATAAATGTAAATTAATATTTAATTATAAAACAAATAATAAACCAAGTGGTATTGAGGTTAAATATTTATATATTAACATATTATTAAATATTATTTTATATATAAAGAATTTAATGATTTTTAGTTTATTGACAACTTCTTAGTAGGGAGTATTTGTGTAGTAAAAATTACACAACATGATACGTCTTACACAGTATCATTACATACAATAATATAGTTTAAATTAATATTTTTCCAAGATATTAATAAAAAAAATAAAACGATATTTTAAATTTAATTTTAAAAATGTAACTATTATTGGCGGGAGTGGGGGACTAGGAATTATGGCAGAGGGGGTAAAATTTATGTTGGGGGGACTAAGCCCCCCCAAGTCCTCTCCTAGTTACGCCTATGGCTTTTATGTTTACATGACAAGCACATTTAAGCGTATACTCATTAAAAAAATTACGTCTACATCACTAATTATCAGTTAATAGTATTACCTATGTAGGTTTAGTGAATAATCAATAAATATTTCTGTGCCATAAATTATATTTAATTAAAATGATATCATGTTGATAGTCGTAAAATTCCCTAAACTATTTTTGTCTTCTTTTTTTAGTAATAAATAAAATTATTTATTATAAGCCATTACTTATTAGTCTTAAGAACAAATTAATGAATTGTTCAACCAATCCTTATTCAATTCTCTTTACTATTTAGAAAAAAATTCTATGGAAGTTTTAAATTTAACTATATATCGTAATCATCAAAAACAAAAAAAAAAAAAAAAATTATAAGTTGTGTTAGTTATGGTTTTTTAAATAGTAACACTGATGAGCTTACTAGAAGCTTAAAAAATAATATACTCACGAATTTTCATTTGTAAACGGTTTATCATTTCTTCTTAAAATGTTTCCCATTTTACAGAAATCGACTAAATATAACAAGCCACGATAGTCAACTGAACAATAATCTGTAATAACCGTGTGTACTGTGTAGTTGGATACAAAGTGAATGTAATAAAGACATGTACATGAACTAAGAAATAACAACTATCGAATAATTCGATAGTGTTCTTAGTACATCAAAATAATTGTTAATTGTAATTATTAATAAATTAATAAGTATCTAATTATAATAATAATAATAATAATAATTGTATTGCGTTTCTTTTAATTTTTTTAAATTAATTGTTTCATTTTAATAAACTTAATTAATAATCATATTATTGATATCTGAATACAGTTATGAATTAAACACTGTTTAGTTATCTGTTATAATTTAAATTATTTTATTTATTTATTATTTTGTTTATTTCGTGATTGGTCCGCATGGTAAATACGACGGAGCATTTGGTAACTTTGTATCTAACCTTGACACTGTGATACGGGAAAGACTACTAAGAAGTCTACCAAAGTCTACCTTATATAAATTATGTGTAAGTATTTTACTATAAAACAGAATGTTTATTTACAATAATATTATATAATATCCATAAAATATACATTTTATTATTTTATATATTTTTCTTGAGTGTTAAGGAGTTTTTTTCAAATGTTTAAACTGGTTTTCACCTTTTTTACTCAATATATACACTGACTGCTATATTAATGCGCAGTGTTATTTTTAGAATGTCATTATACCGCTACATTCATATATAGTACCATTTAGAAACAACTAAGATTATGTGAAAGCTTTTATAAATAATAATTTTTTTATAGAAAAGTATTTAAATATATTGTTAGAAAGAACATAACATTCTGTATAATATATTTATTTATTTAGTTCGTTTATGTTTAAATAAACAAAAACTAATGAGATAACTCTCCCACCAACGCCGTAAAAGGTCTAGGCGGGGCGGGAGGACAAGTCGTGCGAGACGAGTACCGGCCCCCGACATTTTGACGGCACTTTATCTTTCACACTCCAAGGTGTTATTTCACCATCGTTGGTAATCGACTTTAGATTTTGGTGACTAACGGGACAACACGCGACCAAACGTCCGTTTTCTTTTTCTTTTTCTTTTTGTTATTTCTTTTATGACATTCTTTTACAATATCCTCGTGGATTGCTTGTTATAATTTTATACACACCAAGTGTAACAATATATTGTCACTCATCACAATTGACTTAATAGAACGGTGTTATTTTCTTTTCTCGTCTCCTCTCGACGTAACACTCACACCAACAAACATACGACCGCTGCCGAAGCCGCGTCAAATATATATAAATATATATATATATAATAATTTAATTAACTATTTATGCTTGTGATAATAAGTTTTAAAAATAATTCTAAATTGTACTAAAATCTATCTAAATGATGAAAATATGTAAATTATTTGGCACCGGTCTAATGTGCGACCTACACATACATTTTCGGTCCAGTGTGCGACCTTCATATACGTATTGACCTATACTGTATTTGTTGTAGTTATTATAGCTATTAATTAATATTATTTTATTCTTTAAATTTATCCATATATTTATCCATATAATTCATTTATAATTAATTATCCTTCTTGTCTGATAAGAATTCATCGTAATTTTATGTATGATTATTATGTCATAAAAGCATCTTTCATGTCTGATAAAAATTCATCAAACATAGTTTGCTTGTTTGGGTGATATAGGTATCCTAATGTAGCACTCATAAAAAAAAATCAAATTTACTAAAATCACTGTAACACCGTATTTAAAATAACGTAATTCGACAAAGACAGTGAGATCGTAACTGAATGCCGAACAGTTTACAATTATCACGTTTGTATCTCTATTCTCTTCACAAAAATAAATATACTTCTCCATATCATATAGAAAAAAACACAAATTGGCTGTTGGCCGCACGTTGGCCCAGCAAAGATAAGGACAGGTCAATTATCAGTTGTAGGTCACACATTGGACCAGTGTCAATTATTTTATAGTTATCATGTATATAATTTGTTATAATTACCTGAAATTGATGAATTTAAAATTGTCAGTGTCTTATGAAGAGGCCAAATTGAAAAATACTATTAATACATTATTGAACTAGAAGGCTAGGGACTTCATGCTACTTAAAAACCTTATAAAATACATGCATTTGTGTTCTAAAAGAAATTCAAAATATATTGTAGAGCAAGGGTATATAATATATATTAATATATATTGAGGTATTTTATAAATTATAATTAATATTTTAATATATATGTGTATAAAAATTTATATTTTCATTCGACTTCTAAATAATTTCAATAATACTGTAAAAAAAAAAAATAATATATAAAACACTAGAATACAAGTTATTTTTATTATTACTATTTCATAATTTTATATTTATTCCATCATAAATCATACTCATTACTAACTTTAAGTCGTACAGTATACACAAACGATTGTCTTTAATTTAAGGTTAAGCTTGGTGTTCAACTGTTCGACACTTCGAGTACCTAAATGTTTATTGTAATTTTTGTATAAATTCAAAAACCAATTGGTTTAATAGTTTAATATAATATTAATTTGTGTGAACCCAATACCTTGATAATAAATATTTTATACTACTAGTATACATAAAAATTTGTATATTTATTTCACATATTTTCAACTTTTATTATTTTTTTATTTAAAAAAAAAAACAGTTTTATAAATATATGTGTTTACTTACTGATGATATTACTATTTAATTACAACATTTTTAGAAATAGTGGTGATAGCAATGGTAAGTATACAATCTCATTATGGGGCAATGGTACGTTTTCCTTCTCAGATTAAATACTAAAAAGTAAAAACACCACTGGTTCTATGGTAAGCTAGAACTTATTGACTTATGAGTATTTGACTTATGTATTTACAAGATTTAATAATATTATAATAATATTTTTGTTCTTTTATTATGATCAAAAATAAGTACAACATATTGTATTAAAAATATAAAAAACTTACTATAAAATGATTTATCATTGATTTAAAATTAAAAACAGTAACCCACTCAATGACACTGTACATTTGATAGTATAATGGTATTCAATAGAGCGATTTCTTCTAAGTTACTGTAATACAATTTATAG